CGGAAGCAGAAGGTGGTTCTTAAAGAGACAGAGGCCAATTTCAAGGTGTTTAGAAGAGGAAGTGATGAGAAGATAAATTTATTTTCTATTTAAACCTAAAAACAGCATTTTAATAACTAAAGGTGACATAGATACTTTATTATGGTATAGTATTTACTGTAAATATAGGCCTGAGAATCACATAATATTGGCCCTTTAAATAATAATAAATATGTAATAATAAATCCACTGCTGCTAAACTCAAAGGTGGGGTACTCTATTTCAAGATGTGTGACACAGACAATTGTACATTTAACTGATATGACAGGACTGTCGATGAGTCCGACCTACACTGAGCCAGCCAATGGTTTTACATTGGACCCCATATTTGAGGAGGGGGCTCCATCTGAAAACTGGACTTACTAAAATGCTGATAACTCAAAAACTATTCAACATAGGAGCTTCAGATTTTTTTTTGTTTTTTATCTCTGATGAAGGCTATCCACCTGGCCTGCCAACAGCCCCCCCACCCCGTGAGCTTAAAGACTAGCTGAAATAAACTAAAACAAGGCACAACGCAGCATAAATGTGGCTAAAAAAATGAATGTAGCAAACAAGTGTAAGATAAAGAAATGATAAAATGTGAGTTTTACATGTATGTTTAACCTGAGCACTGAGAATATTTGGTTTTAGGTAACTGTTCAGTGAGCTGCTGTCCTCCGTTCTCTCTCTGCTACTGAATAACTTCTTAAACAAACAGCACTTCTGGTTTCCACAGGAACAAAGGACAAGTGACTTGGATCGCTCTGCAGGTTTGGTTCGTTTATCCTGAAGAAACCTGGAAGAACTCGATGTGTCGCCGTGACGTTTCACACGTTGCTGTTTTTTTCTGCCTCGGCTCTCGTGACCTTCAGGGCAGAAAAACAATAAAAAGAACAAAAACCGCCCGACTGCACAAAGTTCAGCTGCTGCAACTTTCAAAAGTCTAGTTTGAATATTTGTTTCATAGCAGGCTGACTCAAAGCAACGTGCAGAAAGGTTTGGGTGAGTTACATTCCAGACAAACTCAATGGTTTCTGATCCTCCTGATCAGAGTCAGGCTGCAGGAACTCAGCAAACACAGGAACGTGTTTATTTTAAAGCACTTCAGAGGTTTTTGATCACTTCATAACAGAATGCTCACATCTCCTTTCTTTACCTTATTAACTCCACAGAGAAGCAAATACTAGAAACGTTCCCTGAAGCTGCACACCACATCTCATGCCAGAGTTTTAGCTTGTATTGTGCTCAGACTGTGTGTTGTGTATGACTCTCAGCTACTACCACTCCAAACTTTAGCTGAATATTTGTAAAACTGACTGAATGTTTGGTTCCACTGATGACCAGTTAATGGATCAGCACCACCTGACTGATGCTGAACCTCTTGTTTGTGTGGAACCAGTCAGACTGGATGAAGTTTTTCACAAACTGCTTCTTTAGTTTGTTTTAATGTTTGGTAAATAAATATTAACCAGATGCTGAATCAGGATTCAGGATGTGGTTCTTCTGATTCCAACAATAATTGTGTGAATTCTAATCAGAGTTTAAGTTTTGATTTTTATTTTTATTTTCTACATGTTTTTGCACACTTGTGTTATTTTAGCTGTTCATGATTTCAAAATGTGCAGCCATTATTCTCTTGAGTACTCAGGTTTTTCCTTTTTCAATTCCCCTAGCTATATAGGTATATTAGAACCTCATAAATATAAAAACAAACATTGTTTTTTTTAACAATTAAGAGTTAAAATATTAATTTATAATTTATTTAAAATAAAAAAAATAATAAAAATATAGCTCCTCTGATTAAGGGCAATCAGTCTAAAAACAATGTTTTCAAATAAAGATGGAGGTTCTCAGGAGGTTATTTTCATATAGTTTAATGAAATCTATAGTTATTTATTTAAAATACTTATTATAAGGAATATAAAATCAGACATTAATTAAAATTAGTAATTATAATTACAGTTTTTGTTTACAAAAGTAAACATCAACAAGCAAATCAAACTGTTTTAACAAACATAGAAGAGGTGATGGCTTTAAAATTGAGAAAGCTTGTTCCTTGTAAATATCTTTAAAATGTATATTTTGACTTTTTTAATAAAACGACAAACAGCCCATAGGTATCACAGCAATCATTTGTGAAGGGAAATGTTCCCCTCCCATTTAAAATATAATTCCCCCCCACATTTACCATAAACTATTAGTTCACCCAGTGTTGTTTATTGATTAACAAACAGTTTCATTCCACTTGATTTATAGAGTACTCACACCAAGAGTTTACTTATGTAGGTAAAGGTCTGTTTAACCTGTTAAAATACACCAGAATGCAGGAAATGGCATCTACTTCATTCAACATTTTCTGGAGGAGGACCCCAGAGCCCCCACCAGTGTGCCCCTCATAACATTATGAATACTTCTGCCTCTGAAATATGTAATAATAATGTAAAGACTTCACGTGTAAAGACATAGAACACAGTAGAACTGGACTGTTGTAGAAATACAGACAGTTTCTGCTCTCTGGACGTCACAGAATCAGTGATATTATCTGTAAATTAACAAACTGAACATCTGCTGGCAAATAGTTTTCAAATTGTCATTTTACAACAGCATCATAACATTTCTGTTTGGTGTTGGAAGCCATCAGGACCATCAAGGTGAAATTTTTTCTCATCAGAAGACAACTTTCTTCCACCTTTCAGTGTCCCATGTTTGGTGCACCCTTGCAAAGTCCAAACGGGC